TTTATTTACTACAAGTACATGTACATGGTATACAGACCATAGCTGACATCAATGACATTATTATATAGAAAGTCCCTTGTTATGCTGAGCATTTCCCGGAAATTATATCAGTTTTGTCCCAGGATACGACCCACACCAGTCCACTATCACCCAGGTACCCATTGTAGACTGATGGGTGAACAGGGACAGGGACATCAGGTGTCTTATGAAAACACGTCCCTAATGCTTTCCATGTCGAAACAAATAAATAAAACCAAATCATTAGACACGGGTGTTCTGGCGCCAGGGAACTGGTCTTCTGGCGCCAGGGAACTGGTCTTCTGGTGCCAGGGAACTGGTCTTCTGGTGCCAGGGAACTGGTCTTCTGGTGCCAGGGAGCTGGTCTTCTGGCGCCAGGGAACTGGTCTTCTGGTGCCAGGGAACTGGTCTTCTGGTGCCAGGGAGCTGGTCTTCTGGTGCCAGGGAGTTGGTCTTCTGGTGCCAGGGAGCTGGTCTTCTGGTGCCAGGGAGCTGGTCTTCTGGTGCCAGGGAGCTGGTCTTCTGGTGCCAGGGAGCTGGTCTTCTGGTGCCAGGGAGCTGGTCTTCTGGTGCCAGGGAACTGGTCTTCTGGTGCCAGGGAGCTGGTCTTCTGGTGCCAGGGAGCTGGTCTTCTGGTGCCAGGGAGCTGGTCTTCTGGTGCCAGGGAGCTGGTCTTCTGGTGCCAGGGAACTGGTCTTCTGGTGCCAGGGAACTGGTCTTCTGGTTCCAGAGAGCTGGTCTTCTGGTGCCAGGGAGCTGGTCTTCTGGTGCCAGGGAGCTGGTCTAATGGTGCCAAGGAGCTGGTCTTCTGGTGCCAGGGAGCTGGTCTTCTGGTGCCAGGGAACTGGTCTTCTGGTTCCAGAGAGCTGGTCTTCTGGTGCCAGGGAACTGGTCATCTGGTGCCAGGGAGCTTGTCTTCTGGTGCCAGGGAGCTGGTCTTCTGGTGCCAGGGAACTGGTCTTCTGGTTCCAGGGAGCTGGTCTTCTGGTGCCAGGGAGCTGGTCTTCTGGTGCCAGGGAGCTGGTCTTCTGGTGCCAGGGAGCTGGTCTTCTGGTGCCAGGGAACTGGTCTTCTGGTGCCAGGGAGCTGGTCTTCTGGTGCCAGGGAGCTGGTCTTCTGGTGCCATGGAACTGGTCTTCTGGTGCCAGGGAACTGGTCTTCTGGTTCCAGAGTGCTGGTCTTCTGGTGCCAGGGAGCTGGTCTTCTGGTGCCAGGGAGCTGGTCTTCTGATGCCAGGGAACTGGTCTTCTGGTGCCAGGGAACTGGTCTTCTGGTTCCAGAGTGCTGGTCTTCTGGTGCCAGGGAGCTGGTCTTCTGGTGCCAGGGAGCTAGTCTTCTGGTGCCAGGGAACTGGTCTTCTGGTTCCAGGGAGCTGGTCTTCTGGTGCCAGGGAACTTGTCTTCTGGTGCCAGGGAGCAGGTCTTCTGGTGCCAGGGAGCTGGTCTTCTGGTGCCAGGGAACTGGTCTTCTGGTTCCAGAGAGCTGGTCTTCTGGTGCCAGGGAGCTGGTCTTCTGGTGCCAAGGAGCTGGTCTTCTGGTGCCAGGGAGCTGGTCTTCTGGTGCCAGGGAGCTGGTCTTCTGGTGCCAGGGAGCTGGTCTTCTGGTGCCAGGGAGCTGGTCTTCTGGTGCCAGGGAGCTGGTCTTTGGTGCCAGGGAGCTGGTCTTCTGGTGCCAGGGAGCTGGTCTTCTGGTGCTAGAGAGCTGGTCTTCTGGTGCCAGGGAGCTGGTCTTCTGGTGCCAGGGAGTTGGTCTTCTGGTGCCAGGGAACTGGTCTTCTGGTGCCAGGGAGCTGGTCTTCTGGTGCCAGAGAGCTGGTCTTCTGGTGCCAGAGAGCTGGTCTTCTGGTGCCAGGGAGCTGGTCTTCTGGTGCCAGGGAGCTAGTCTTCTGGTGCTAGGGAGTTGGTCTTCTGGTGCCAGGGAGCTAGTCTTCTGGTACCAGGGAGCTAGTCTTCTGGTGCCAGAGAGCTGGTCTTCTGGTTCCAGAGAGCTGGTCTTCCGGTGCCAGGGAGCTGGTCTTCTGGTGCCAGGGAGCTGGTCTTCTGGTGCCAGGGAGTTGGTCTTCTGGTGCCAGGGAACTGGTCTTCTGGTGCCAGGGAGCTGGTCTTCTGGTGCCAGAGAGCTGGTCTTCTGGTGCCAGAGAGCTGGTCTTCTGGTGCCAGGGAGCTGGTCTTCTGTGCCAGGGAGCTGGTCTTCTGGTGCCAGGGAGTTGGTCTTCTGGTGCCAAGGAGCTAGTCTTCTGGTACCAGGGAGCTAGTCTTCTGGTGCCAGAGAGCTGGTCTTCTGGTTCCAGAGAGCTGGTCTTCCGGTGCCAGGGAGCTGGTCTTCTGGTGCCAGGGAGCTGGTCTTCTGGTGCCAGGGAACTGGTCTTCTGGTGCCAGGGAACTGGTCTTCTGGTGCCAGGGAACTGGTCTTCTGGTGCCAGGGAGCTGGTCTTCTGGTGCCAGGGAACTGGTCTTCTGGTGCCAGGGAGCTGGTCTTCTGGTGCCAGGGAACTGGTCTTCTGGTGCCAGGGAGCTGGTCTTCTGGTGCCAGAGAGCTGGTCTTCTGGTTCCAGAGAGCTGGTCTTCTGGTGCCAGGGAACTGGTCTTCTGGTGCCAGGGAGCTGGTCTTCTGGTGCCAGGGAGCTGGTCTTCTGGTGCCAGGGAGCTAGTCTTCTTGTGCCAGGACCACACCATTTGCTGTTATCTCTGTACTCTAACGTCTCCGTACGTCAGAGCTGCACCCCTGACTCGTACCCATTATTCTTACCCTGTAAAACCATGCTATTTAAAAAAATAACACGTGGCCCAGTCACTAGACACATTATTAAGTTCCTCTGTAATCATATACACCTCTTCGTCGCCCACAGTAAGGTGATGTCCACTGCCTGGGCTGCCTGAGACTTGGTTTCTCTTGACATCCCGTATTTCCCAAGCTTAGCTCTTGAGTGACTCACGAAATCGTAAAGACACGAGTTTTGAGACTCTCTGGCCGCGGGTTCAATCCCGCCCGTGGTATCGTTAGGTCTGAGATGCGGACACATTTTCTAAAGCATATTTTCATTTTGGACGACGTTTCGCTCTGTGCTGAGCTGTATCGAGTCGTGTTTCGCTGTGTAGAGGTTTATCAAGTCGTGTTTCGCTGTGTAGAGCTGTATCAAGCCGTGTTTCACTATGTAGAGCTTTATCAAGTCATGTTTCACTGTATAGAGCTTTATCAAGTCATCTATTGTTATGAGTAGAGCTCTATCATGTCAGGCTTGCTCATTGTAAAACTTTTACCAAATCATAAACAAATAATAACCGAACCAAATTATTTCACAGCCAACTTACGGAAAAAACTAAATCGAAAAGTAAAATAATGAGTTTACGAAGTAATGGGGGGCCCCTTCACTATTAATAATGGGGGCGCAAGAGCTGAACAAAATAAACCAAGAACTATTAATAACAAGTGGACAACAACAGCTGTTAAAACCAGAAATGGTAAACACAGGCTCGTGAGATGACGTACCAAAATATGCATCCAGAGATTAAAGCATTGTTGACCAGTGATGAAGAGGTAACATGCGGCCTTAATGACCTTTTGTGGAGTCGACAGCTTTAAAAAACCATTAACCACCCCAAAGAGTAAATTAAAGAGGCAAAACTCCAACAGGAAATGTCTCACTACCAATGGCGGGGAAAAAACTGATCGGAAATTTCCCCACTTGGACTCATTGTCTAGGGATTTTTTTTTTATATAAACAACAGTAATGTAAACAATTGTTGAGTGCGAGCCATGTGTGGCACTTTAGGTGTG